TGTCTGTTGGTTAAGTGGTGTGTAACTAAAAACATTCCCACGACCTCTAGTACATGTCGTGACTTGAACATAGGAACATATTATGGCTAAGGCTACAGTTATACACATCGTAATAATAATATTGAACACCCTGTCTGCTGACAGTCATCAACTCTTCTCTCTGGTATCCTTGACCAGAAGTACCCTGCAGAAACTCATAAGCAGGCCTAAGCATTTAACAGTCTAACTATACATCCTATCTCCACTAACATTTGTAATACATAGTATCTATCCAATATCTATCTGACTAAAAATAACTAACACTGAGTTTGTGGTAAAAAGGGACACATGCATGTGGGGTAATGATCATTTAAGAGGTTTTACAGACAAAAATGAATCCATAGAATGCCAGGAAAATTTTACCCAAATGAACCTGGATCTCGAGGGTTAAAAAACAGCAATCAAACATCAAAACACACATGAATAAATAGTGCCCTACTGCAACTCAGCAGCTGTCGTTGAAAAATGTGCAAAATCTGCAATTTGTGCCAAACAATTTTCTCAGACTACTTTTTCTCCAAAATGAAATGATTTGTTTTATTGTACTTATATTCATTAAATCCCTGTGTCCATTTTCCAAAGACTTACATTGGAAACGTGCTGCTGTCCATTAACCCCTTCAAGCCTATTAACATATACACAGAGGAGCTGAGAGAGAAATACCAAGGCAAAGAGCAGCACAGAAACCCACCGTGAGCAAACACTTCTCAGACAGCTGCACACTATCATACTAACTCTTAATTTCCATTGTAAGTGATTCTGTTGTTCTCTGCTTCAGGCATGTGTATGCCATAGCTGACGTCACCTTCCACCAGTCTCAGAATTCCACACAGGAGCAGTGCATCGTCATAAGGTACTGACAGGAACACTAAACTGTTCCATCAATTTGATATAACATTCTATATGGATGTGCCAAATTCTTGAGTTTAAACTTTCATGTGTACTCTAGGTTCTCAGAATTTAGCCACAAGACCCTCTTTTTCTTATCATCAATACACACACTTTTCCATTAAGTGGGAAAATGTGTGCCACCAGTAAGTTGGGTATTTGTGTTGGGCAAAATGTCCTGACAGCTGTGGAACAGATTGCCATGAATAGTGACTGGACTGACTTTTCATCTAGAACCATCATCAGGTCAAAATTTCAGTTTGTTCATTAGCTTTGCTTAATGGCCAAATACCTGCAAAACTAATGACATTCCCCTCAAACTCAGCTGTACTGTGCATTTTTAACAAATGATAGCATGCTAACATGCTAAATCAAGTTGTGACCATGGTTAACATAAACCTGCTAAACATCAACATATTGGCATTTACACTGTGTCTTTCAAGTCATTTTTATTATGCTCCCATGCCAGTGATAGCCATGGCCAGAGGCATTATGTTTTCAGGCTGTCCATCTGTCCAGCCATATGATTCTTGTGAATGCAATATGTCAGGAACACCTTCAGGAAATATATTCAAATTTGGCACAAGTGTCCGATTGGACTGAAGGATGAACTGACTAGATTTTAGTGGTCCAAGTTCAAAGATCAGTGAGCTCACTTCTGTCCCATACTAGTGAATTTGACTGTTTGGCGGAGGCATACATCTGCAAGGTGGTACAGTAATTCTAGTTTCTTGTGTAGTGGCCAGAGTGGTTCAGGGAAAACTGAAGCTACCAAGCTGATGGTCCACTACCTGAGCTCCATGTATCAGGGCAGAAACGACAACTTGCGACAGGTATTTCTTTGTGGAAAACACAAATATGTAGTTCATCAGCTGGCAACATTTCATGACATCATCAAGTGTACATTTAAGTCCTTCAGCCACTATCTTTTATCCACTTTTTTTCTTCTTTTTCTTCACTAGCCCATGGAGATCTTTCCCATCCTGGAGAGTTTTGGAAATGCCAAGACCATCCTCAACAACAACTCCAGCCGCTTCGGCAAGTACCTCCACATCCACATTCTCCAGTGAGTCCGTCTGATATTACTCCAAGTAGAAATGTCTTTTACCTACTGTTCTTTTGTTGCTCCTCCTGAGGAGATTAGTATCAGCTGTTTATTTGACTGTGTCTTATTTTGGTTGACAGAGGGGTTGTTGTAGGGACCTCATTGTCCAAATATCTCCTTGAGAAGTCAAGGGTTGTATTTCAGGTGAGAACACTGAGTGAGGTGTGCTGTGTGTTCAAAATAGGCATCATGGGAGGAGTCCATGATGTTATATTTGCTGAAGGAGCAAATATCAACAGGTTCAAACTGACTGCAAGACACACTTGTGGAAAAAATAACATCACATTAACTTATTGTCTACACTGTGAATAGCACTGCTGGACAATTTGCTGCTGTGTATAATGCTGTGTGATCGGCTGTTTGTCTAATATGTCACACAAGTGTTTGTCTTGAGTTGTAGGAGTATTTCAAAAGTTTCTTTTTTGGTTGATTGCTTTTGCTCCTTGGAAAATGAATGCTTTGGAGGCTTTATAAAGGACACTTCCATATATATAACTCAAATAGCTTTTCATTCCATAGTTTTTATCTTGCTGGTAGCATGGCTCTGAGGGTTGAAATTACAGTTGGTTGGTTTTTCCACCAAGACTAGTCAAGACTGAAATACTGTATCTCAGCAATTGCTTAAATGGGTTGCTGTGAAAATCTGTACAAACATTCATGATCCCCAGTTCTGGAATTGTAATATTTCAATTCACCGTAAATATCTCTGCACCATGAGGTGGACTTTGTTGGTTCTGGGTGAAGTAACTTGACATATGTTCAAAGAATTTCTGTGAAATTTAGTACAGATATTCAGGATCCCCAGAGAATGAATCCTAATGAAAGTTGCAATCCCCTACTTTTCATCTTGCATCTCCAACAGGTCCAGGTTTTTAGTTATATATCTCTTTACCAAATAAGTTGTCAC